TAATGTAGAAAATTATAGGCATGGTGTTCCTCCTTAACAGCAGGTAGCCACCAGTCATTTGGCTCCCAGCAGACACAGCCATGGACAGTTTGATGCTAATTGTCCTGGCCCTGCATTATGCTGTTCAGTCTACTGTAGGTAGATATTTTCAGCCAAGCGTTCCAGCTGTGCTCATAATTCCAGTAAGGCATAGCTAGCATTACCTGTGGCAATGCCAGCACATAATTAGAGAGCTCTGTTTGGGGTTTTTTTCTTTATTCATGTGCATTTGTGCTAGTTTGAGGAAAATTATGTCTACAGAAGATCTGTTTTGGAAATTGTTGTATAAAAGCTTATTATCCCTGTGGTGGCTCTTCATTGTGATTAGGAGTGTGTCTCTACTACCCATAATCATGATAAAATACAGTAATCATATATTCATGCACATTGTACCAGACCGCTGTGATGAAGAGGGAGCTGGAAGGTTAAGCTTTCAATTTACCATTCAGTCAACGGTACATTCCAGACCTCACCTATGCTCATGAGCTTTGGACAGTTACCAAAAGAATGCCATCTTGAATAAAAGTGACTGAAATGAGTTTACTCCATATGGTGGCTGAGCTCAGGATTACAGATAAGGTGAGCTTGGGCATCCAGAGGGAGCTACAGTATAGGAGTAGAGCTGCTGCTCCTTTGTTTTGAAAGGAGCTGAGATGGTCCAGGCATTTCATCAGAATGCCCCCTCTGCATCTTCCTTTGGAGGTTGTCCAGGAAAAGGGATGGTAGGGGACCATGTAGGAGAGGCTGTATATCTTATCCAGCCTCAGAAAGGCTCAGGGCTCCCCAGGAGAAGCTGGAACATGCTGCTGGATAGACAACTAGACTACTGTACCTTGCTGAACCTGCTGCCATCACAACCTGACTCCAGAAAAGCATCCGAAAATGAGTGGATAATGAGTGGATACAGTTGTAGTTGATAGTTTGTGGAAATATTGATAAACCTAATGACAGCTAAAATGAACTGATAAACAGGGTGTCATGCACATAGCAATAAAATAGGCTGCTATTTGGAAAGTTCAGCTGGAGGAATAGATTTATGTGTTTAAAACCTTTTAGACAACATAATGGTTTGTAATGTTCACAGACAGGATTTTCAAATTCAGAAAATGATTACAGTGACAGTTGTTTTATCTTTGGTCATGATGAGGTCAGCAACAGAAATACAGTATGGTGTTCACAGTACAAAGTAATCCACAACCAGGATGTTGTATATATATATATATATATGTGTACACACACACACACACACACACACACACACAAAATCAAAATTAGGGGCTTCTGCACTCTGAAAAGAAAACACACAGATAAAGATTGGATCACATTTCGGGACCAGAAAAAGGGCACAGGGTGACAGTTCGTCTTAATGGAGCCTTATGCTGTTAAGCCTTCAGTTTAAAATTAGTCCAAATTAACACACTGGAACAAGATGGGTGTCACTGAAGGTGTTCTTGAGTTCATCTGTATGGGCTGTGGGGGAAAGTGCATCTGAGAGAGGAAATGCCCTAAGGTACTGTATACATATTTGGATTAGATAGACCACTTGAAGCAGATAAAAAACTAGAAGTGGGTCAACACATTTTTCCAAGCTCCAAAAAGGTGTGAAGTGGTCAGAAAATGCAGAGTGTGAGCCCCTGAGTCTTTTGGACTCTAGACTAATATAAATGGGAGGATCGAACCAATATTTCTCTTCCACACATATAGAGACAAGAAAGGCACACTCAGGCCCATCCAGCTAACTTGAAACACACTATACCCTGAAAGATCTAGTACCATTTATGCCTCTGTAAGGTACCATGTGACTTGTGATTTATTACAATCACCTGCTGAATGTCTGGAGATTTGGAGAGAAGTGAGATTGCCTTGCAAGCATTGGCTAAAAAATAAATAAATAAATAAATAAAATAAAAAGTCTAGCATGTGTCTAACAAAGTAACTTATTTACCTGTTTTCTGCTGCGGGAGAAAGAAGAATGGAGCTCATTACTGTATACCATTTACAGTATATTTATTGAAATGTGAAAAATCCTGATGCTTCAAATGAACACATACACAGAAAACACTGTGTGTTTGTGCAGATCTGTGTGCTTTCTTTAGCTACTCCAAAAAACAATCTGAATTCACCACAAATTCCCTTGTAATAATTATTTATTAATCCACTCTGTCCAACTAAATTTTTAAACTATCAAAACATACATGTACCTGTAGCAAGGAGAGCGTTTCTTTTCTCAAACTTATATAAATGTGATTTACAAATGGATACTATGTAAGTGTGACAAAAAGAGGCAGGAAACCAGCTGAGTGCACATGTTTTATCCCTGGAAGGCATGAAGAATTGATGACCTGTGGTGATATATTTGGAATATCATTTCCCATTATAATTTGCTATGGGGGAAAAAGAGAAAGAGACGGAAATGTGCAGTAATGCTATTCTACTTTATAAATCCTGTTGTGCTAAAATAAGTTTAAAAAAGTGCTTGTGACTTTGGGGAAATATATGGACTGGGGCTTGCAAAATACACATCTCCACATACAGTATGATTAAAGCCCTGAGTTCTACTCTGTTATGTTACATACATATACACGTGTCTTTGTACATGTGAGGAAAACTTAACCTTACATACCCCTGCCTGTTTGCCTGTGTGGTCTAAGCATGAGAAAGTCTACATTCCTTTGTAATAAGCCTTGTTCTTGCTCAGCCGTTGGGGGTCAGTTACAAGGGTCTGATTCAATTATTCTTTTTCTCACAACAGGAGGAAAACATTTTCATGGTGAATGGTTTGCCTAAATAGATTAGCATCTCAAATAATTCAATTTCCTTTCATTTGATTGATTTCATACCAAGAGGGGAAAGAAATCTTCATTTAAAACCATTGCATTTCTAATCAAACATTAACTGAGAAACAGGCCTGGGTGAAAATCTTTTATTACCAGTTTCTTCATTCATTTAAATAGAAATAGAAAATGCTGACGGCTGCCCTATTAAATGGCACCACCAGTATTCAGTGTGTGACCAGCTTTTATGCACGATCTCCAAAATAAAGTGCTTAATCGCTTGCACGCCATTCCTCGTATAATACACAAACTGAGCGCACGCAATCACACACCACCGTACACACACATACACAGAGGATCTATAGCTGACCATTACTACAGAGGATTCAGATGAAGCAGTTCAGTCATCTGATCTATTCTCATCCATTATTCATCCTGCTTGGGGAGACAGAGACGCTGGGCTTCTCTTCATAGAGAGGCCCAGGAGCCCCATCTATTCTCATGAGCAAAGGAAATGCCATGCAGTAGTAGAGTGAATCACCAACACAGCAAAAGAATGAGAGAGAGAGAGAGAGAACCAAAATTGGGAGTGTAGGGTATTGTGAGTGCACAAGAACTGAAATGAACCATCGTGTGTATTCGACATTAAATTCCTTCAAATCCAAAAAAGTTACTAATGTGAACAACCAGAGTACAGTTGTGGATTTATAACTTATTGAGTCTGTCTCCACCAGGTGCACCTTCCAGACTGATGCCCACCAATGCTATGCTGTCAGAAAATAAAGCAGCCCGACCTGTACTGTGAGGAGAAAACACCTTGTGGAGACACTGTGTGAGTGGCAGGGCAAGCTGCCACAGATAATAACATCTGAAATAAATTTGATGTGTGGAATTCAATCTGTAGTGATAGGGACGGCTGCAGCATTAGAGTGAAGTTCTAAATGCTATCTACTCATCCATGGAATGAGGACTGACACGCAGTCTCAGAGAATAGATTGTGCAATTAACAGCCTTTGTGCTGTTTTGACACAATGAAAAAAGGAAATGAGATTCAATGTTGTCATGCACGGTTCTCTGTAGCTCTGATTCCCATAAGATATTCCAAATGTACCATGTTTCAGGTGAGAATAAGCTGAGGGAGTTGAAACATTATGAGATGCAGTATAATAAAGCACACAGAGAGAGAGAGAGAAGAAGAGGGGGTTCAGCTGGTCACACTTATTAATAATCTGCAGTATTTCATTTTGATGGCTTTAAAATGTGAAATTTTGATATGTTTTGTTCTCTGTTTTGGAGGAGCAGTTCACCTCTTCAGCACTTTGAGCCATAATTATAAAATGCAATACTTCCTTCAAAGAAAAGGGGGCGCTGTTTGAGTAGACATTGAACAGAAGGACTTGACAACCAGCAGTGTCACCAAACTTCCCTGATTATTCCTTTATTTAAAAAGGTTTCTGTGTGTATTGTCGGACATTGCTGTCCTTTTAGTACACCCATGTTCCTTTCTTGGACAAAACCCCACATTTTCCTATTTATAAAACAACAAAGCCTCACTGAATACAAATTTGACTCAACAAGTTGCCATCTTATTTAAATTATGCTCATGAAAAGCAGCACACAAGTATATTATTTCCCCAAACAGGTTAAATGAATGCACCCTTTTCTCAATCTTGTGTTAAAGCAGAACACACACTCGGTTTAACAAACAGCAGTTTACACTGATATTGGCCTGACTACTGTTTAATAAACATGAACTGTTTTATCTCAGAATCATTTGTGCTTCAGCTATAAAGCCAAGTGCAACCAGTTGAGTATAGGTTGTTCTGCCCCCCCCCACGTCAACTAACAGACTATAACCATAAAAGAAAATTGCTATAATATTCCTATAAAATGTTTGTGGTTCTCGTTGGTGAGTTTATGGTTACCTCACCGCGCTCCATGGTGTTTATGCTTCCCATGGTGTCACTGTAATATGCCTTCAATATTTCTGTTGGGAATGACAAGTGTGTCTTTGGGCTTCAGTTGCAATCTGTGCGGCCAGTAATACAGTTTTGGACATTTTTCCAATTCTCCTAAGGTATCACAGTAATATTCCTATATTATTTTATAGGCTTAGATATCATTGCAACATAATGCAGCCCAATATGATAGCAAGCTCCCTGCTTGAGCCCTCCCTCCGCCTCTCATGTGTCTACATTTTCATCCCATGGCCGTCTCTAGGTGATTTAGCGCCGCCAGTCTCAAGCAGGTGTCCAACATGGCGATCACGGGGAGCGGATCTCTCGCTATTTCTCTTTCTGTTTTCGTGATATCAGTGGCGTTTCTTCCCAAAGGTAAGTTTTTGCTGTCTTGTGTGTGTGTGTCGGTGGTGTGGACATCTCCCTTCCGCAGCTAAAGCCCTGCAAGCACCGGGGAGAAGTTGTGGTGCGTTTGCGCGCTAGATACGCACTTGCTCTTCTGAAATCTCAGCATCACTTTCTTTCTATTGCTCCAATAATACTTTCGGCTCCGAAATATACACGCTGTTTGTCGACACTGTCTGGGTACTTGTCTCGTAATTTCGGGGCTGATTTAAAGGTTGCTGTTCGGAGTTTTACTGCAAGGGCTTCAGAGGACCGCTATAAAAAGTATCTAGTGCTGCACAATTGCATAGGCGGAGTGGAAGTATAATCGAATGGCATGGTCTTACAGGCTTTAGACCTAGAGCAAGTTGAAGGTACTGCTCATCAAATGAGTCCAGTTCTCCGGCAACAGAGAGAACACGACCCAGTGGTACCGCATAAACCTTCACAGTCCCAACTCATCCCACTGTCGACAAAGCTCTCAAGTCTGCGCCTCAGGTGCGCTTTGGTGGAAAACACGCATTGCAGCTCTAGTCTCGCACAGTGTCCTCTGACCGTACAACTGCAGCCTCTGATTCCGGTGTGTGTTCTGGTCCGTAGTTTTCACTTCTCCCCCCGTTAGCGAGGCTGGAGATGTAAATCTGCCATGTCGCTGTTGGGCTTTACAGCGTGCAGCTACATCAGCCGGGGGTGCCTAAACGTGTACGACCATCGCAGCCCCGAGTCCGATCGTTTCACTGTTATTCCACCGCGATTTCACCAGAGTTGCATGCGTCAGTGTGTGTGTGTGTGTGTGTGTGTGTGTGTGTGTGCTTTTCCTAGAAAACGTATCCGCTGACAATACTGATGCATCTGAAGCAGTTAAAATGTGAACTTGGAGCCTCTTTAAATCCCTCCCAGCGGTGTGATGGACATATTGTGTTGTCAGTCCCTGGGTTGTTAAAATGGCAAGCAACAGTTGCGACCACAGGTTTACACTTAAAGACTACTTGAGCGACTTCTCAGTTTCAGATATTTCCATAGTGTCCATATTGTAGGTTGCAGTGGTGGTACAGTATCTGCATCACTCATCAACAGGTCTGCAGAAACTCCTCAAAGAGCGTGTGTTGGGTGGGTGGTGGTGAGGGGTTAGATCCACAAAATGGTCCCAAAATGAGGTTACTAGCTGAACAGAATGCTCCTGTTATTATTATTATTATTATACAGCTCACTGCTTACAAGGCTTTCATTTCACAGTTGTTGCATTTATTATGGTCCGTGCTGAATAGCAGTTGAATGACATTTGCGGCATTGTCTAGCATCTCCTTGTCTTATTAATTTAATTAACCTCTAAGTCAAATAAAATAATGCATCATGAATGTGCAATCAGTCAGAGCTCAATACACCAAGGGTTGCAGCCTAGGAAACGGATGCGGCTGATTGGTCAGGTAAAATCCCCAAGTCCAAAATTCTGATCCAACTGGTCTAATTGTGTTTGTGCCAGCAGCTAGGAGCAAATAAAGGGTCCAAGCTCCTGCTTTGTGAAGTGCTGAAAGCCTGCTTTTTTGACTGCGTCCAGTCTTTCTTTATTAATGTTCCTCAGACAGTGGATTTTAACTTTGCTTCTCTATCTGGTGAGAGAAGAGCAGTCTCATTAGCACTTGGGGTCAGTGAAAGAAAGACAGTGAGAGACAGGTGATTCCAGACATCACACAGTAGGAGGAAGCTGTGCTTGTAACGACTGCCTCGGCTGAGCATCCCCTTATGAAATGCTGAGACTTAGCATGTTAACAGTCTGTTTAGCAGTGTTTCCCTCCCCCCTGTTTTCTAGGGCTCAGCCTGTTGTAGCATATCAGATGGTCAAATTTCAGAAGATTGCATATTCCCACTTATTGCCAGTTTAAAGCCATTCGTCAGGACTGAGTGATGGTGAAGTGGATCAATACGAGCTGTCACGAAGCCTCGGGGTGCCGCTGGAAGACAGGATCTCAGAGAAACAAAAGGAAGCGTGCAGTTGTTACAGTGCTCTTGGTTGCCAGTCCACATGTGACACAGTGAGGGATTGGACATGTTCGTCTCTGCTGCTCGTGGTGGGCTTTGGCTTTAAAACACATGAGTAGAAGCATTATGGAAGAATAATACAGCTGTGAAAGAATACCATCAAAGTCCTGTACTCACATTTGGACTTCAGTAAAAGTATTTCCAGCAAAATATGCAAAAGTGAAACTACTCATGTAAAAAGAACCCCCATGAGTGAGTGTTGTTTTATTACAGTAATTAATTATACAAGTTTGTTTTTTTCTTATTTACTGGTTTAATTTTATTTATTCAGTCGCAGGATATTAATTTTATACTTATTCAAGTGTCTTAATTATAAATTAAACTTGATGAACTGATTAAACATCTGATCAATGTCAATAAATAATTAAAAATTCTCATCATAGTTTACTAAAGCTGGAGGTGATGCCTTCTTCTTTTGTCTGATTACTCAAAAAAAAAAAAAGTTTACAAGGTTACCATCATACTGGCAGCACCAGAGAAACATTATTCAAATGATGAACTGATTACCACAATCGATGCATATCATATCCATTAACTGATTAAATTAGTCATTGTTTCAGCTCTGGGTACATGAGTGCAACCTTTAGCCAACAGAGGCCTTCTCTCTACCATCTGTAGACTAGCACCATGTTTCAGGATATATTTAATATTAGTCTTAATGGCCCACTGATATTGTGAAGTATTTCATCGCCTGTACGTTGAGATCACCACAGTACATCATTTGTAACAATAATATAGTCTTCTATTTAAAGAAATTGAATTTATTGCTCATTAAATTTACATTTAACTCTGCTTAATAAGCCTCACTCTAATTGCAAGATAATGCATTGCACTACTTTATGTGGTGGCAGCTAATCTTACTGTTGGAAAGGGAGGGGCTGACAGAGAATTGGCAGCCGGTGCGTGTAAGGGATTTAGCCACTGGTAGCAGATTTAACAAAGTAAGCTATGCTGTAATCATTTCACTGAGGACGTCACACCTCCAGGCTGTGTTCGTCTGCTCTGAATTTTGCTGCTGTGCATCCGTATGAAGGCCCACGTTCCCGTCTGCAAATTGAACATATTTAAACCATCAGCGCCTTGTCTGAGCATGACAGTGTGTGAATGTGCATCTACGATCAAACTTCACACTCTCTTTGAAATAGCTTTTTAAATGGATGGAGTGCAGAAGGTCCCTGCAGCTCCTAGTGAATAGGTAGATTTCGCTCCAGTATCTGTCTTTCCAAGTCAGAGTTTGCAGTAGCCAGTTTAAATTAAATGCTTTTTAGTTTCTGAAGAATATATCTGGTTGTTTTTGAAGGTCACGGAAGTGCTGCTGTACACATGCTATCACTTTGAGTCATGTAGTAAATGTTTAAAAAAACAAAACTCGGGACATTTCTGCGCAAGGGATTAGTACTGCTGTGTCAAACTGAATGACAAACTGAGGACGATCAAAAATGTGCCTGTCTGTCTGTGTTGAAATGTAGTAAACAGTCAATTAGGAGAAACAGACAGATGACAGGTCCTTTCATGATGGTGGGGACAGGAGCTCCCATTCATGACTGTGCTGTGGTAATGAGGAGGAGAGCTGCTGTCTCTGCTTATGAATATGACATTGTTCTCTCTGTTCCCTGGATCTGACAGACCTCACTCTATTGGCTGCAGCGCTTAGACGGTGACAACCAGGTTCACAATGACACAAAAAGGAAATACAATGTTTTTGTTTTGAAGGAGGCACAGAGTGCACATTAGTATGGGTGACGAAACAATTACAAGCCACCATTAAGGCTGTAGAACAGTAGTCTCCAAACGAAGAACCCACATTGGGCAACATCCACTGTAATCCACCCTTTCAGACCAAAGTAACAGCCAGTCACATACTGTACTGTACTGTAACATGTCTGGTTTGTCTTGACTGGTGGACAAAAACATTGTGAGGTCAAATGGTGTTATTCACATACCCTTAGTTGTCATGACAGCGTGGATGTGAATCTAAGTCCAAACATCATTCCCTTTTTGTCCTGTTTTTGGTCTCTACCAGCTTCTCCCAGTTCTCCAGATGCCAAATGCTCCGCTGTGTCCACCAGTGAGTCTCTGTCTGCTGCTTGGTGCTGAGTGGCAGTCTACAATGAGCCTGTAGAGCTGAAAACAGCTGCCTGCTGCATCCAAAAGCTACACTATGAGAGCGCTGAGTGTGAACCAAAACAATAATGTCGTGGGCCAACAGACAACTGAACAACATGCTGAATCTCGCTCTAAAGCTGAGTGGAGCTGTGGATTTAGTAGATAAGTCTCTGTCAGTCGATACATTGTTATTATAAAAATAGTGAACACATCCGCTTTAACACTGGGTGATTTGAGTCTTTCTAGTCATATTCTACCCCTGATTTACTTAACTGGGGCATGTATCTACGGTACATATGAGCTGCATGGTGTTTGTCTCTGAGGTAACTGATGAGAAACAGGGCCCTGCAACATTTGGATCTTGTCAGGATTGGGTTGATACTCACATTACCAAAGAAATACAGGTCAGTGGGGCGCTCAGCACAATTTGTTCACTCATGCATGTGTCATACAGTACTGTGTGAGACTCCAGTGGTCAGAATCTCAAAATTGTTAGGCCAAGTATTTTGTTTGGGCCAAAGATTACAGCCTAAAATAGGCAATACACATTTCTTTCTGATACATTCAGCGACTTTAACATTTACCTTTTTTTTATTATGAACCATCCAAAATATTTGTACAGATACTATATTTAAGAAACAGCCCTGTCAGTAGGTCAGTCACAGCTAAGAGAAGTTCACCAAAAAGAGATGCTTGAGACTTGATGACACTCAGACAGAACATTAAGACTAAGTAACTGTTGATCAATGTGGAGGAGAAAGGACTCATTCTGAGAGAGAAGACTGAATCTCTAATCAATAAATTCACTTATAGAGCTCCCACTAATCCACTGCTTGAATAGGAAT